AGCCTCCGCCCAGCGGGAGCCAATGTCCTGCTGGCTGCCCTGGGGTCCCCATCAACCCTGCGCTGCTGGCCAATGAGCACTCCTTCAAGGCTCAGTTGAGAACTGCAGCCTTTACTCTTTTTCTCTTTTTAGCGACCTGGACTTTCGGTGCGCTGGCTGTGTCACAAGGCCACTTCCTGGATATGATCTTCAGTTGCCTCTACGGTGCCTTCTCTGTCACCCTTGGCCTCTTTATCCTCATCCATCATTGTGCGAAGCGCGATGACGTCTGGCATTGCTGGTGTTCGTGTTGTCCCGGACGACAAGCGAAGGCCTGCGATGTTACCCACGGGCCTGCACAGGCAAGGCCCAAAGTTAACGTCAATGGAGATACGGTCGGCCACGGTCACAGCCACTGCCACCACGACTCACCGTGTCCGGGCAAAGCCTTGGTGAGCTGTGCTCACGGCAGCTTGGGTCACTGCAAACATGTCATCCTCCCATCCTCACAAAATCACGTGACATGTCTGGCACCAGTGGCACCATGCTGTGCAGCGCTGCACAGTCAGCAGCTGATCGAAGAGGAGCCCACAGCTACGCACGTACTGCTGCATGCAGACCCTGAAGGTTACAGGCCGGGAATCCAGTTCCATTCCTGCCTCAAGAGCAGTGCCAGGACTAAAGGCCGTCCCTTTAGCCGACGAACAGCGACGGGCACCTGCGGAGCAGGGGCTGAGCGTGAGTATGCTTATCACATCTCTTCCGGTGGAGATGGAGGCAGCGTGCACAGCTCACACACTGACAGCCCCCACAGCACGCACGAGCGCCATGCCCACATCTGTCCACATCTGGCCCACGAGGCCCACCACGACGGGCATCACACTTGCCACTGTGCTGCGGCAACAACACACGAGGCCCTGGCCTGCCATAATCCCTGTCACAGGCATATCTGCTGCACCAAGGCGGACCTTCTCCCTGCTCTTTGCCCTGCAGAGGCGGGGGAGGCCGGCATCTTCTTGTGCGGATGCGGCAAAGTGGCCGAGGAAGAACCGACGGCGGCTCATCATCATCATCTGGAGATGCACGCTCCGCGCAGACAATCCTACCCTCAGAATCCACCTAATCAGAATGGGATTCTTAAGGGGGGCTTACACGAAGGACTCCTGTACACCTCAGACAGCACAGGGAATATACGCACTGGACCGTGGAAAAATGAAACTACTGTGTAGTGCAGGAGGGAAACCAGGGGAGACAGGCTGCGTCCTCGCCTCCTCCTGCCAAAAATCAACCAACGTCTCCTTTTCTGGAATTAAAACAAAAACATTTTGAACACCATGTGGGATATCTTTATTTTCACGACCGCCTCCTTGAATGTGTGCTGTTTTACTGTACAGAAATCTGCTTCTATGGTGAATGCTTCTGTGAATCCATGTACAAAACACAGTCCCTCTAGAAGAATTTGTGAGATATGTTCCTCACCATAGGATCAGATGTAATTATGGGTGTTTTCATCGTTCCACTATACTGCAGAGCTCTCTCTCTATATATACAAGACGACGTGAATGGTTGTGTGTGTGTGCGTGTGTGTGTGTGTGGATACCTGTCATAGTGCTCAATGGCAACATCCTGCAAGATTTTTGAATCCCTATCATTTGAATCCATTAAATAGTCTACGGTGGCAGTAGGTCTCACTACTTAAAAGAACTCTTGCCGTTCATTTTTTAGACGACTAAACCAGCAATTTTAGACTTTATGGATATTTTTGTCAGTCAGTCAAGCAGCTGTGAATATCACTCAAATATTTTTTAAATAATATACAAAGACACCGCTGCTTGCCAGAGACTGGCGGGCGCCAGGTGTGTGGTGAGAACCCAAGGTAACACACAAAAAAAAAAGAGAAATGTAAAATGAAGCATCCTCTCACAGGTTGGTATTGATTGTGCTGTCTCTATGATGTCTCCTCTGTTGTGTTTCTTTTCTTCTGGGAAGCTGTTAAATAACCACAGTGTCAACAGCAGCGGTGCGGCCAATGTGAATAGCGAGCAGTGGAGGCCGAGTCACCGGATATTTGATTAACACTGTGTGGCACGTTGACACAGAATCAGACCGCGCAGTGAGTTAATTCCCAAGAAAACTTTTCTTTTTTAATCCCTTTCAGCTCACACATGCAACATGTGGCGTTCTGAGCAAATGGTTGTTTGTAATGTCAAACGTCTTTTTTTTACAAAAACAAAAAGAAAAAAAAGAGCATAGTTGTGTTTGTACAGTCAATGATTCGACATGCTGCTTAAATGTTAGGGAAGCCACCCTGCCACTGGTGTCCTGTTATTTCCCCTTAAATAAAAACTAGGAAAACATCATCCTCATAGACCGCGGCCATAAAGGAACAAACCTTCTATTTTGTTTCTCAAGTTTGTTGCATAAAAGCCCCAAAGTTTGCATGTCTCGATCTTAGCTATGTGCTATAATTTTGTAATGTAAATGAATGCCTGCTCATTCACATATTATTTGACCTGATCACCATTGTCAGATCCTTTGTTTGAACAAAGTAAAGATCTTACAGTTTGATAGTTTGCCAAGAGTGGCCAAGAAAAGGAGATTTTTTATTTTACCTTCATATTTATTTCTGTTTGGCAGCACCTTTGTTTGCTAATGGTATTATCAAGAGTTAGTACTCCTAACAAAAATCTGTTGTACAATGCATCACAAACTCCGACTTTAGACAGACGAAGATGTACGACCGAGTGACGTACAGCAAAGCAGCATTTATACAGCTAAATCACAGCAGAACGTTATTTAGATAAACCACCTCAGCATGCAACCTCATGTCCGACTCGTGCACTCTTGTGTGTGTAAATAGAATTGTTTTATGATTAATTCTTTTATATGAGATTTAAGATATTTAATAATAAAAATAGGTCTATATATAATGAAAGCTGTATGGGTAAGAAAAAGAAAAACTGACCTCTCAGTGTTAATGCTCAGTATCTGAGTTCAGAAATGTTTCTGTTTTTAAATGCCTTTTTCTGTTGCAATTTTAGTTCTAAAATATGCAGAGTTGCCATGTGTTGTGAGACTATACTGGCATATCAAGGATGCACTACACACATTAGCATTGGACCTGATCAGGACGCTGTTTGCCCCACACACTGTAGGGTCATTGGAAAGTATTTGTTCAAATTTTCGATTGATTCCTGGGCGTCAAGGTAAAATATCAAACCACCTTTCATTATGACAAGATCTTTGTAATGGAAATTGGACTCTTAGACATCAGTGTGATGGATGAGTCTCAGTGCTTCGAACTTGTGGCCAGTGGTGTTGAAAACACTTGTTTCCACAAAAGTTGGTACATTCCCTGAAAATACAATAAAAAACAAAGTATTTCAATAGATGATGCATTTGTTCTGTTATTTATCAGACCATATAACCAGGGGACTCAAATTCAAATGACCTGTGGGCCACTATTGCCCCTGCCATCTCAATGAAGGGACACAGAAATTCCAGAAATTCAAATGACCTGTGGGCCACTGTTGCCCCTGCCATCTCAATGAAGGGACAAAAACAAAACTCAACTCTATGCCTCCCTCGTGAGTAATCTTTTATAAAATACTACCATGAGATATAGTGATAAAATATAACAAATAACCAGATTTTATTTGTTGCATTTATAGTGACTGTACCAACTTTACTAGAGACAGGTTTTGTGTATCCACCTTGCCCAGAGCCCAGGTTAGTGGACCTCAAACAGCGATGAACAATTAATCATAAAGTATGTGTTCCTCTGAGCCACCTACGGTCCTGTAATTATTCACCCTGGCTTAATAGGCAATGAATGGGACTTTGTGACAGTATCACAATGAACACTTGAAGTCAGTTCCTCCCACAAAAGCTGTGTGAAATTAGAAAATGTTGGTCTAGGCTAATTGCTGTGCAATGTGTGTGTTTGCCAGTATATCTTATATGCAGCCTGAGCTTTTCAGTGTCTGTGAGAGATGTATGTGGTGTCATTGGCCACTGTGAGCCACCCGTCCTTTTGTCATCAGTTGCAGAAAAACTGCCCCGAACAGGCTTGCTGGCTTGGTTTTGGCTCACCAGGCGGCTGCTGGAATATTCACCTGTGGTACTGTGACAAAACCTAAAAGCTAGATTTCACATTTTTCTACATTGACACAGATTCCAATAAATGTATTTTTTCACCATGCAATGGATAAGTTCCTCCTTGGCTCATTTCACTTGTTTGGACCGTGTTGAGTAAAGCGTGCGTTTGACCTACATGATGCTGAATGTGAGTGGAAAAAAAGAGCTACGTTTTTCCTTCTTTGTGTCTCAATGTACTGTGTTCATTTCTTCTGACAGCATGATGGAGATGTCTACAGGAACCACCACTGGGAAGAATTCAAATGATCACAGGCTTGACTGCCTGTGCACGTGCATGCGTGTCTCGGTGTGCATGTGTGTGTGTGTTTTACGCAGACACGGCCTGTCTATACATACAGCACACGCGCAGTCATCCACACGTCGCCCAGGAAATGAGGCTGTCTGTCTTCTCTGCACCACAAGCCACACCCAGGTTTGACAGGCCATGAAACACACAAGCGCATTTAATATTCAGCTGCATTGTTTTTCTCTTTTCAAGGCCACACATCGCTCACCCCAGACCACCTGATCATCAGATTATTCATCTAACTGAAAGCCACGGGAAATGTCAGACATTTCCCTCTCTGCAAAGGCCCAGACTGAGTATAAATATTGGAGGATGGCCACAGAAGGTGAGTCATGATTAACTGACATGGTTATTTTCCCAAAATTATATAAATATATGTACATATATATGGATATACAAGTGTATCCAAAAGATGCTTAAATATATATCTTTCTATGTATACATACATATGAAATTATATATTTATACATGTACATATATATACATAGATTTACACATCTTTTGGATATATATTTACATACAAATATGTACATATATATACATACATGTATGGACACTATGTTTATAAGCAAATACTATGTTACATCACCCACAGACATTAGGTTTTAGGGACTCTAACATTAGACCAGTATCTTATTTTATTAAGTATTTCTGTTGTTATTTTTGTAAAAGGAAAATTGACCCTTTACTTTGAGTAGCCCTGCTATAGACCCGACAACAAAATCCAGCTCCTCCATTTCCAACAAAATAATCTACATAATAAAAAAAGGGACCTATTGAGTGTAGTTACAGACTACTGAGACTGATGGTGATAGAAGAAAAAAAATCTTGCCGGTCTTGGACCGAAGTGGACCGAAGTGCGTAAAACACTATTGAATCTCAATGGAGACGACAGTCAGAGTGCTCGTCAGTCCAGCTCCTGCAGCGTACATCAATTCACATCAACCAACATCCCAACGAGATCTTCCTGCCTGTCATTGCTGAAGAAGAAGATGGTTTAGCTGTAGCTTCCTGTGCTGGAAGTATCAGAGCCTTTCGCTAGGCTCAGGTTGCCATGCAACATATCCTGGATTATCTCCTCACTCCCTTCTCCTCTTCTCTTTTTTCACCAGGAGTCACAGAGAAGCAGAGACATAAGAGAAAGCAACCCTTTCTCACAATCAGACAACTGTCATACTGCATCAGTAAACAGGTTAATTAGAGACAGCTTTGAATATCAAGATCGAGATCGAGCTGATCTGTTATAGGCTCAGTTTTTGTTAGCTAAGATTAGCAGTTGAACCCTGTTTTGTACTGTCTTTTGGGGCAAGAGCATGACTGGCCAGCCTGCAGTCCAGATGTACCTCCTATTAACATCCACAGCAGGTCAGTAAAGGGCAACTGGACTGTCATAGTGTCTTTTGACCTTTTATCCACGAGGCTTCTTCAGTTCTAACTGACTGCTGAAAAATGATGGTTTAATTAAACCTCAGGGTGACTGAATACCTGAAACAAGGGTCATTGATTAATAAAACATGAAGGTCAGAAAAGGTGTGAATGGGGGTGTTGGTGTCACCTGAGGGGCAAATGTGGCTATGTGCCCCATAAATCACTAAGTCAGTGTTGTTAGGTAAAAAATAAAGTTACGTTTTTTTTGTCACATTTTTTGCACGGTTAGAGAACTCTATTGGTTTTATACGGTCGTTCTAGGTGTGTTGTGACACAGTTTAAGTTTCCTTGCCTTTCAGTCAGTCACTAACACTCAGCCGACCTCTAAAGACTACCCTTAACTCTCAGCACATGAAAGTAATGAATTCTAAAAAAAAAAATCCTCTTCAAAGCTCAGCCCCTTTCTGTTTATTCATACTGCAGGCTTACCTTCACCTGAATTATATCCGACGATGGGAAAATTTTGGGAGAGAAAGAATGAGAGAGAGTGTTGGCGGCTCAGTGAGTGACAGGTTTGAATATTCCTTTTTAACTTATTCTCTCCTGAATGCCTTTTGCCCCCACTGTGACACTGGATTTCTTGATGCACCGCTCCTTTGTTGAGGGTTGCCATGCATGCTGAAGTGAATGGGAACACACGGCACTCGCTAACTAAATGACCTGTAGTTGCTTTGGAGAGGAAGCTGTCAGTATTCTGGGTCCTGGTGCCATTTATACACACACACACACACACACACACACACACACTGCGTATCTCTATTACCACCTCCTCTCATTTATATACAGTATTAATGGCCTCCTCTAATGTTGACACCACATTAGATTTCAAGCAGTTTTCATGTAAAAAAACAACCAAAAAACATCAACAACAACAGTGGATTATGGGCCTCAAGACAACAGCCAGGAGAGCAGGTCTGGAATCTGCCAGCTTCCTCACCCCCATCCCCCTNCAGTGGAGAGATTACAGTACAGCTGGGGATGGTCTGACAAGCAAAAGACCCAGGAGGAGGGAGGATAATTGAGAGGGTGAAGAGGAGGGAGTGAAGCCAGGAGATTATGCTACAGTAGCTGTTTTTTTATGGACGTGTTAAATCCTTCATAGTTGACAGCAGCAGTGTCCATGTCCACTTCATACAGAAACCGAATAGTTGTTTAAGTTTATCATCTGAGGCAGTTTACGTCTAAGGCAGATCAAATATCAGGAAAAACCTTTTTAAACAATTTATTTCAATGAAATAATTCTGTGGGTGAGTGAGAGCGTTGGATGATTGCTAGTCAAGGTTACATTAGTTTAAATGAGAGGAGATGCAGATGGAGGTTGGTTAAGGGGCGAAGGCATGACAGCTACCAAGGGTCGCAGTGATGTGTGAAGATAATGGTGAGACCTGTATGTAGAAGAGACAGCAGGGCTGTCAAGTGTCAGGAGTCAGAGCTCGAGGAGGCCAACGAATGGACGAAGTTTGTTCAGGATAAAGCTGAAAACATCAGAGAAGAGAGAACTTGGAGAGAGATTGTGAATATTTTCTCTACCCAGGCTAGGTTAGGGTATGTTATAATCAGATTTTAAAAAATATCCAATAATTGTGTCAGCCATTTAAAAGCAGGAAAAGTAGTCATTTCACAGCAGCTCAAGTTAAAAAATACCATGACAACGCACAGTATGATTTTGTGAGGACAAATATAACTTCAGAACATGCTGACTGACACAATTGTCAAATGGATTACAAGGGACTATGGACTGATTATTGTTGTTGCAACTCTCCACATGTTCAACGAGTCATAATAACTCAAAACTACCCACTCAAGCTAAAGTTTGAGTTGTACTTACTTATAACAATGCATATTATTCCTATTTTTTCCCAATAATTCCATCATGAATTAGACAAAAATAAAAACAGGTGAGAAACATCCCCATCCACCTGCTGTTATTTGTCTGAATGTTTTGTCCTTTTAGATATTGATTTATATTGCTAATCATGATTAATCGTCATTAATTATGACCACAATTAATCGTGACTAATCTTAATGAATCCACAGCTACTCTGTAGATAATCAGATTAAAATGTTAAATTATTTGATACTCAAAATAAGATTTTTTTAAATTATTAAAACAATTTTAAGATCAGAGCAAACATCACATTTTAACCAAATATGAATAAAAATCTGGTAGATTTCTTTTTTTTTTTTTATCCAGCTCCATCAACATTTAAGGACTCAGTTTCAGTTCTGAGATGAATAGAGGCAGGTTTTGGTTTGTAGACATAAATGTATGATATAGAGAAATAGCAATGTTTCGTGGCTAAAGGGATTATTTTAAGATTCAATTTTTTTTCTTTTTTGTAAAAGATCCCTGTTACTTTAACCAAGTGGTCCATCTGCACATTTTTCAGACTGTGGGAGGAAACTAGAGGGAAAGCCTCAAAGGAGAACGCGCAGAACTGCCACCAATCTGAGCCAGGTAATCCCACAGCTTCACCAGATGGAGAACAGGGTTCACTGATCACTCTGATCACTCTGATAAATATATATACATATATATACACATCCTGTTATTTTAAAGACTTAATATTGATAGTAATAAATGACAACACAGTAGCGTGCAGTATTTGGTACGACACTCACTACAATCATCTCATCTGTTCCTAAGGATTGTGCAGCTGATCTTGTGTTGAAAAGACTGTACCATTACATTATTCTGCTGTGGGCAGGTAAGTTGAAAATCAAGTTTGGGGAAATTGGTTCAACCTTTATTTTTGTTAACAAAAATGTTGGTTATTTGGGGAACAATGTCAAAATAAATTAAACTACATGTAGTATGGTCATATACTGAATAGCATAGATAATGGGAGAACTTTAATCCTAACATTAGGAAACAGAGTTGTCAGAGGTTTTTTTTTTTGTTTGTTTTTTTTGGAACTTGGAGGAAACAAGAGCCCAGGAAGTAGAAAATGTAGTAAGAAAGCTCCGCCGGCACGTCCTGCGGTTTTATCACAAGCATTTTGGCTGTAAAAGTGCTTTATGTTCCTCATATAATGTGACTAGTGAGGGATTTGTTGCAGGGTAAGCACGGCCATAACACTTCTCACGCCACTATTTGGATCAGAGTATTTCATTTCAGACTGTGTGCCATCTCGGCAACAATTTTCCAGTCTGTCATGAACTGAATTTGTTTTCACCGTATGACCCATGAAAGCCTTTAATTTCGCCCTGGTTTCTCATATATTTTTTATTATTTAGATAATCTGTTTTGGTTTTGGAGGAACATAATAATTTGGAAAACTAAATTTGGTCAATTCTGAGAGCAGTAAGTTTTGGGTTTTTTTTCCGATCCTCTCCAAAATTAATCCATGAAAATCGTACTGTCATTCTCCCATTACATGAAGACACACAGCGGTCCTTATGCGTGATGAAGCAAAGCTGGTCACTGCCAAGAATCACAATTCAACCCGTGACTGCCAGTCTCTTGAGTTCAGACGCCTGCCGCAGCTTTGCTGCGCGCTATACTGTAGTGCCATCTAGTGGTTGGTGCCTCTAGGTGTTGAAGGGCAAACGTGAATGTCACGCAGGTATTTATAGTTTCCTAGGGCAATTGTAGAAGTGACTTTGCACAGAGGTTAGGTTAGTGTACAGGCCTGTGTTTCTTTTCTTACACTTACACAGTTAGCTCAAACACAGGAATAGAAACAACATAAATCAAACAAGGGATAATCACAGCTTCCACAGCCCACACTCCAGATCCTGCAAGTATTTGGTGACCAAATGTGAATCTGTCTCAAGTGAGTGAAGGGCTCTTTCACTGCCAGACTGATCCTCTCAGTCCGAATATTAAACTCAGACATTGATCCAGATCTATGTCACTGTGTCCCTGCTTATCCATGTAATACATTCTCATAGTAGGAACAATTAACTAGCCGAGTTGCAAAATTAACTGGGGTACAGGCTACTGTAGGTCACATCACAGATAAAGTTTCTAAATTTAAAAAAGTTTGTCTCACTGTAACATTTCTGTAACTGTTCCTCTACCCACAGCCATTGAAGAGTTTATATTGATGCAATGTTTTGTCTGTGATATTAATATATATATATATATATATA